GCGGCCCCCCCCCTGCAGCCTCGGCCTCGCCCCTCCTCTGCAAGTGGGCCCAGGAGCCCAGGGCCCCCTTTCGGAGCTGGCTTTGCGGTCAAGCAGCGTAATCTGTCCCTCGAGCCACACCAGAGTCTCATTAAAACGTGCCCCATAAATGTTAAAAAATTTACACATAAAAAAATTCCATGCATGAAACTGAGACCGTACGTTTTACAGCCTCGGTTTGAAATCTTGCATAATATATAAAACCTCAGCCCTGCACTGGAGGCCTGTAAATCAGATTTTATAAAACCAAAAGCTTTTGCCTTTCAAAGGGGTTTGGGAAACTTGCAAATTTTACAAACTTTACCAACTGCCAGTCTGAGGCTGCTGGACCTGGAGGGCCCGGGGCTGGTGAGAAGCAGGCCCGGGGAGGGGTGGGGAGGGGGTGGGGAGGCACACGGCCCCCTCTCGCGGGGCCAGGTGGGGTGTGGACAAGCCACGGGGTGGTGGAAGTGGGAGGCAGAGGGCCCACTGTGGGCGAGGCCTTCCCGCCTCCAGGGGGAACACACTGTAGGCCACAGGCCTAGGTCTGGTCATGACTTCTCCCTCCTGTCCCCGGGCGGATCCTGTCCACAAACGGCTCAGCACAGCATGGCCTTCTTCTCCCAGGGCTGGGCTCCCTAACTTTCAGCAGGGCCCTGAGGGGAGGGGCGTTTCCCTGAAGCCCAGGCCCTCTCTGGTCTCAGCCCGCTGTCCCAGCCTTGGCCAGGGCCTTTGTCTGGAAGTGGCCCTGGGGGCTGGGGGGTTGGCCAGAGGGGGATGGTAAGGATAGATCCTTGGGCTGCTAGGCCTGGGAGAAAGCTGGGCAGCTTGGGGCGGGGCGGGGAACTTCAGAGGGCAGTTTGGGGCCCACACGCCCCTGCCAGTCGCTGGCTGGCACCTCTGAAAGTCAGTATTCAAGGGCATAGGCATGCGCCCGACACACACACATAAAAAATAAATCTCTCAATTATCTCAGCTCATTTGCTCGGGGCCTCATTCCATGTCCCTGCTCGGCTGTGCAGTATATCTGTCCGGGTAAAGAGTTACAGTCCGCTGGGCTACGTGTGCGGGGTCGTAAAAAACACAGATGCCAAATTAACTGTCCGCGGCACTCAGCAGCTGATTGAGTTGATAATGACGCGCTCTGACCTTTCTCATTTCTGATTACGTGCATCTCAGCTGCGCGGGTCTCATTCCCAACGGCCCCTCCGGCTGGCCTCTGCCTCTGCCCTGCCCGACATGCCAGGGGTGCCAACGGGACACTTCGGCACCACTCCCCAAATAGAACTCCGGCCGGCCATGTGGTCTTCGGGCGGCCAGGGGAGGTCCCGAGCGCGAACACCTGCGTGGATGTGCGGCCTCCAGGCGGACCTGAAGGCTGTCCCGGAGCTGCCTCTGTAGTTGTCCATCCCGCCACCTGAGATGGGGGCCCCTGAGGACACAGGGCGTCCATAGCACAGACTGAGCACTGGGGCGACCTCCACCTCCAGTCTGAGACGCACTCAGTTGTCACTCGGCAGGCAGGCTGCATGGTGGTCTGGGCACGAGGGCAGCCCTCTGCCACACGCTCAGCCCGACCCAGGCCTGGCACACAGTGGCCATTCAGTCCAGTTCTGGGGCCTGGGAGCTGGGCCCTCGAGAAACAGGGCGTGGGGTTCACAGCACAGGGAGACACCGTACCACTTAGGCCACCTCTGCAGGTGCACCACGTATGCATGTGTGTGCATGGCTGTGTACACGCACATGACTCTGTGTGTGTGTGTGCATGGCTGTGTACACGCACATGACTGTGTGTGTGTGTGTATGGCTGTGTACATGCACATGACTGTGTGTGTGTGTGTGCATGGCCGTGTACACGCACATGACTGTGTGTGTGTGCGCGCGCATGGCTGTGTGCGCACGTGTCTGTGTATACACACATGACTGTGTGTGTCTGGATGTGTGCATGACTGTGTGAGTCTGTGCGTGTCTGTATGTGTGATAGTGCGTATCTGTATGTGTGTCTGTTTGTGTGCATGGCTGTGTGTGTCTGTGTGTGTGCACATGACTGTGTGTCTCTGTGTGCATGGCTGTGTGTGTGTGTGTGTGCATGACTGTGTGTGTCTGCGTGTGTGCATGACTGTGTGTCTGTTCGTGAGCATGGCTGTGTGTGTCTGTGTGTGCATGACTGTGTGTCTGCATGTGTGCATGGCTGTGTGTGTCTGTGTGTGCATGACTGTATGTCTGTGTGAGCATGGCTGTGTGTGTCTGTGTGTGCATGACTGTGTGTCTGTGTGTGTGCATGACGGTGTGTGTCTGCATGTGTGCATGGCTGTGTGTCTGTGTGTGTGTGCATGACTGTGTGTCTGTGTGTGAGCATGACTGTGTGTCTGTGTGTGTGCATGACTGTGTGTCCGTGTGTGTGCATGACTGTGTGTCTGTGTGTG